AGTTTTCGATGAGTCATATCATTCTTAACTTGGACGGAAATGAAATTTGTTACAACGTTGCACTTAGTCTTTCATATTTGTTGTTAGTAATTTAAAAGACATTTTGAAACACATACGGAACAATAATAATTTTTTAAAATATAATAACACAAAAATGAAAAGGGAACTCGGGTACATTTATCGAGAGCCACAAATAATCCTTCAAAGAGCCGCGTGTGGCTCGCGAGCCGCAGGTTGGCCACCCCTGGTATATATTATGGCTGCTTAATGTGAACTGCAACTTGTTGATTAAATCTATTTTAATCTATATATTAGGTTGGAAGCAATATTAGATCACAATGATAATTGATTGGCATCAGATATGAAATAAATCTGTAGAAACTGTGGACTTTGATCTGAAGGTGGGAGGAGACTACCAATCAAATGGTACACCTGCCCTTCTACTTTAAATTTAGGCATAAAGTTTCCTTCGTGAATTTCTTTAGCACCAAATGATGTCATCTGAAACAGTGTATTATACTTACGTATGTTATTTAAAAAATGCGCAGATAATGGATTACTGCCTGATAAAAGATCTTTTATTGGTTGTGGTGGTTCTTGTATATTAGGGAGAACCACTTTGCCTCTAGCACAACACATACCGTTTGCTTCATCACTCCATTTTTTAACAAAGCACTTAGGGCAAATTTTGTTCATTTGTCCAATTTTTACAGTATTTTGCTGAGCATAATCTATATTTGGATCATAATTGAAAGCTGATCTATTCCTGTGAGCAACAATTTGATTACACGCTCTAGTCGTAGATATCTGCTGTCTTTCTGTGGCTAGGTGCTGGGAGCGTTCGGCGCTAGATTCCCTAGCATGTGCATCTGAGACATGCTGTCTAAGGCTAGCAAGCCGCTCAGAGCGATCACAACTAGATTCCCTAGCATGGGCCTGCGATGTTCTTATATTTTGGCAAGCGAGTTGCTGCGAGCATTCAGTACTGGACTCCCTAGCACACACTTGTGATATGTACTCTCTATGACTTGTGAGACGCTGCATAGTTTCAGGGGAGGACTCTTCCGCTCGGTATATTTTAGATGATCTTGTCTGAGATGTTTTCTGTAAAAGTTGTGATTTTCTTTTAGACATGGTGTTGTTATTATACAGTAATTGATAATCAATTAAATACAACAAAATAGAAGAGAAGTACAGTTCCAAAAAATTACTTTACAACATATAATTGTATGCAAATATATAAGTGGGTAAAATACAATAAATGAAATGAGGATAAATTACTAATTCTTGTAGATATTTGTCAACACTAACACAATTTCGGACATGTGCACAGCATATCTCGCCGACCACGTGATTGCACCGCACGGTTACCTATCTCGTATACATATGTGTCTTGCCCCTCTGTCACCTGCTGCCTTAGCTAGATAAATGTTTAATGGAATAATATACAGCCTATGTCCACTCTGAAGTTCCATTCTAAGTATTGGTAAAAGAATTTTTGAAATTGGATGAGTAGTTTCAGAGATTACCTCCTACATCCAAACATAAACTTTACCTCTTTATAATATTAGTATAGATATAAAACTATTAATATTAATAATAACAACATAATAGTAAAAAATAATCATAAATAATAAATATTACAATATGTTATGACTAATTAAACTTCACTTTTAATACTGATGGTAATATAATTCTCTCCACCTGAATAAAAACCTTTCAATCTCCAGTGTTATTCTTCTTGGCAAACGTTTTCAACCCTACCAGGGTCTTCTTCAGGCCACTGTTATAATAAATTCAAACAATACAAAATCGAACAGGAACCGAATAAATGTGATTCAAATCCTAGAACGTCAACGTTAATATCAAAAATATAGAACACCATGCTCTTGCTTCGATGATGTCAAAGCTTGCGTAATTTGCGCTTGTAATAAAACCATATTACATCCAATTATGGGTTGTTCCTTCATAGCAAAATTTCCATGCACTAGAGATGTTGACTGCGTCTTTGGAATTAATACATGTGTTGTTTAATCCCGCTTTATAAATTTCTAAGGTCTCCATAATCCTTAGTTGGTCTACATGGTGTGATAGCCTAATTAGACGGGCATTCTGTAGATCAACAGGCTATCACACCGTGTAGACCAACTAAGGATTATGAAGACCTTAGAAATTTATAAAGCGGGATTAAACAACACATGTATTAACTCCAAAGACGCAGTCAACATCTCTAGTGCATGGAAATTTTGCTATGAAGGAACAACCCATAATTGAATGTAATATGGTTTTATTACAAGTGCATATTACGCAAGCTTTGATGTCATCGAAGCAAGAGCGTGGTGTTCTATATTTTTTATATTAACGTTGACGTTCTAGGATTTGAATCACATTTATTCAATTCCTGTTCGATTTTGTACTGTTTGAATTTATTATAACAATGGCCTGAAGAAGACCCTGGTAGGGTTGAAAACGTTTGCCAAGAAGAATAACACTGGAGATTGAAAGGTTTTTATTCAGATGGAGAGAATTATGTTATGACTGTTGAGAAAGAAAGATAACAAATGGAACCATAAACAAACAAGCATACAATTCCAAAAAAATATTTCTGTAAACCTTGGAATAAAAAATTCTGTCCAACTTCAAGACAATTTGAAGAGATGGAATTTTAGTTAAAATCTTTAACTGCCACTCCAAACTACATTACCCTATACAGTACAGTACTTCATTATGTTTCTCGTTTATCAATCTTGGGTTTATATTTAACAGCATCTTTATTTGTATTTTTTGGGTTTATTTGTAGACTTGGATTTATTTAAATCTTCAAATTTAATCAAGGAAATATAGTATTTTAAACAATTTTACTTGATATTTAGTACAGATTTTTATTTTAAGTTGTTCAGTACATTTTAAGTGTGTCATGATTTTTAAAAAGTAATGACTACTGTTTGTTTTTGACTTAGATACTTACAGAAAGTGAAAAAAATTTATTTAGATTAGTGAGAGTGCACTGTAATTGAATTATACTTTATTTGCATACTTATGATAAAAATGCATTAAAATATAATAATTTATGTATCATTAGAAGTTTTAGTATTATTTATGAATTTGAGATTTCACTTGTGATTTGAAATGTAATTTTACTATTTTTGATGTTATGAGTTGTAAAAAACAAAGTTGCTATTTTAATTGTAATTTAAAAATGCTATAACATAATAACTAATGAGTTTCAATTTGTTTTAAAATTTCATGATTCAATAATAAAGTGCACATGGAAATTTATAAAAATGTAAAAAAAAAACAAAAAACAATATAATATATTTTACAAAATATTTGTATGAAGTAATACAGCAGAGTTCTTTTTTATCCAAGGTAAAATGGATGAACATACTTTGGATAACACAGAATTTTAGGTAGAAAATGATTGACAAAATATACAACCATTGCTACAAAATCAAAGTTTTATGATGATTACAATTGAAATTTCTGTTTTTTTCAAATTCATATTGTCCACAAGAGTAAATTCTTTTTAAAGCTTCTTATCTTTATTGATAAAAATACAGTAGAGTGTCGTTTATCCGAAAGTCGGTTATCCAAAAGAATTCCAGTTGGCAAATTTAAATTTTCGCTAGTGCTGTGGCGCTGCAATCTTTGGCTATGTTTTGGGCTACTCAAATATTTTATGTTTTTGATACGAAATTAAGTTCTGAAGTATAATTTTTTATTGTTCTTATATTTTTCAATATATTTATTTTGTTTGTACAAAATAAAGAAATAATTTTTAATGATACAATAGTCACGATTATTATTTTAAAAAGTTTATGTTAGGCTTAACATTGACGAAAATTCAACGCGAAGCGACACGCAACAGAGAAAAGTTTCAACACGGGATAGGTTAATATATTTTTTCGTACATAATCGGTTATCCAAAAAATAAGTTATCCGAACAACCCCATTCCCCAATTGATTCGGATAAACGACGCTCTACTGTACTCTTTCCCAGTTCACCTCAGATAATGCAAAATCTCTGTTGGATCTAATTTAATTAGGACTCTGCTGCACTGCTAATATATTTAATGAACATCACTAAAATTAAAAGTGGAAATTCTGTTAGATGATAATGTTAAAATCATCTTTAATGTTTGTGTGTAAAATTTAAAAATTATTTTAGTTATTGAATTCCTGCTTTTAGATTAATTATTAATATAAGTACAACAAGTTTTGAAAAATTAATTTTAGTAAATTGTATTAGCAAAACTATAAATAGATTCATTTTACATTATTTATTGTGTTAATTTTTAATAAATATAGGATGCTGTCATGTTACATAGTTTTACATTACGACAACAACTCCAAACAGCTCGCCAAGGTAAGGAAGGCATTTAATAAATATTATGTATTGACTTATAAAATGTAGTCTTATTTACTTATCTTGCTTAGTACTATCAGTCTTGTCATTATTATCAATATAGGCAAGTTTCAAAGTGATTACAATAAGCAGAATTTATTAACTACTAGCAGATAAGCCCGGAGTTGCTTGGGCAAAAAGTGACGATAGCAAAGATGAAGATTATTACATTACAGCCAATCTTACTTGTTTTCACAGAATACAAGAATTAGGTCCTCCTGATTCCAGACTAATTAGAAAATTTTTATATAGGTCTAAAAATATGTTCGATTTCCTGCAATAATGCAAAAAACTGCATCTGCGCCTGTAAATCTTGCACATTGCTTTCTCTTAACACTTCCATTGTTGAAGTCTTAATCCTGTCCCTTTCCCCATGGGGGGAAATTTCGAAAAATTCCTTCTTAGTGTGCATTCTCATGTCATACCCTAACTGTGTACCAAATTTCAAGTTTCAACTCGTAACCGCGCTGAAATGCTTACGATGAAATGCTCGTATACACGTGCACCACTTATCATAGGATAAATAAACTATGCCAGAAACCTTCGTAAGAGAGTATTAAACAACTTCCCAAAGTTTCATGGCAATCAGATAAATGGTGTAGTAATGCATGAAGGACAGACAAACAGACATACATTTGTTTTTATATATACAGATGTTAAAAATTATTAATTCTTAAAATAATAGTTAACATAACTATGTAAAACAATTTTAATTAAAGGTCAAAAATAAACTGATACATAGGGAAATTGGTAGGTCGAGGTATAACATTTTAAGAATACATGAGAATTAATTATTTTAATTTCAAATTTTTTGCAATAAATTGCAATAGTGGTGATTTTCCATGCATCCTAGTTTTTTCATGGGCAGTTTTGATCAAACTGACTTAGTTAAAATCACAAGTGTAGACTATCCAAAAGGTGTCTTCACTTGTCTTTTTTCACACCAAGAACTCATTTAAATTATACTGAGGTTCAGCCTTTTATTTGAGTCTATGGCCACAGTAAAATATATAAAAGACAAAAAATGTTTGCTGGTGATTGGATAATATCATAAAATAAATTACATTTTTAAAAAACGTCTCGTCTTTGCTTCCATGATATCCTCATGCTTTGTGCTGTCCATCTAACTAAAAATTTAAATCAAAAATTTTTTTTGCATATGCAGCAATTTTCTGCTCTAATATCATTTTCAGTGACCTGATGTCATCAAAAATGAAGTAATGGATGTTTATCAGTTATAGTTTGTAGTGACTGGATGTTCTGCAAGTTGCTACAACCCTGAATGCTTGTCTTAGTAAGATAACCTGGGGTACTATTACTTTCAATAGTTTAAATGTTTTCATAGCTTTATTTTGACTAGAAAAATCATTTTCTGTATTTTTCTGAGAAACACCTTATCATTCTCATCATTTATTTCCAGCTGAACTCATTTCATCATAGTTTACACTATCATAAAGTTTCAAGAACTCTCATTGGAGACCTTGAAAAGCCATTATTCTGTAAACAATATATAGTAAACTCAATAACATATGTTGAAATTTGGCATGTGCAAAGAAGATACAATACAGGATTTTTCAGAATTATGTACAATGTAATTGTGTAAAAAATCAGCAGAAAATCCACTACCTTATATTTAAAAAAATGCATGTGATTGAGTGTTAGTGAATATTGCAAACAGGCTAGTTTTTTCATATGAATGATATCAAGGTTATTGTTTACTGTATTTACTCGCATATAAGACGACGTTTTTATTCATTTTTCATTGCTTCAAAAACCTAGGTTGTCCTATACGCACAAGCGAAGGATTCTTTGCGTTTTTGCAATAATTTTTGTGAAGTGTGTATAGTTCATGCTGCCATTATAGCAGGGTGCTACCGAGGTCAAGGTGAATGTCACTTTCAAAGAGATGGTCCAAAAATATCTGGTCACTTAGCAATGATTATAAATGTATTTACAGTAGAGCATCGATTATCCGACTCAATTGGGGACTCAGGTTGGTCGGATAACTGAAAAAATCGGATAACCGAAAAGAATGAAAAAAATACATTATTAGTATAGTATATTAGTATATCCCATGTAATTAGTATATTAGTATATTGCTATTCCAACTTTGCATTGAATTTTCATCGATGTCTAGCCTAACAAATTTTAAAAAAAATAATAATCGTCGCTATTGTATCGTTAAAAATTATTTTTAAATTATTTTATTGCTCACAAAACAAACAACCACTTATAATTAGAAAATTAAGTCTCNGATTAATATAAAATAACAAACATATAAAATTAATTTTCTTTTAAATGAATGGTATTATATGTTAAAGGTGAGGTGTATACGTGGGGAGACAATGACGAAGGACAGCTGGGAGACGGAACCACCAATGCCATACAGAGACCACGTCTGGTCTCGTCTCTACAAGGTTTTTATCTTAAATTTTACGATTAGTTTAGGTACATGTGAGCATATAGGAGGTCTGTCCAGAAAGTTTGCAAACTTTTTAAATTACACACCAACTGATAATGAATCTGAAGGTGGCTTGCAAGGCTCTCTAGCAACAAGTTTTGTATGCTCTATTCCAAAAGCAGTTTGTTCTAACTTCATTTATTTAAACATGAGTTGATTGCATTTTACAATTTTCTTTCAGTGAGTTCAAATGTGGTGGGCTAGATCTGATGAAAAATTCGTGAAAAGTATCATCACTGGGGATGAGACATGGGGTCTATGGGTATGATGCGGAAACAAAACATCAGTCATCGGAGTGGGTGGGAAGATCTTCATTGTCACTCGAAAAAGCACCACAAGTTTGGTCAAAAGTGAAGGTTTTGCTCACTGTTTTGTTCGATTCAGAAAATGTTATTCAATGTAAACACTATCTGGAGGTGACAAAATGTCTTTGTGAAGCAGTGAGGAGGAAAAGACCAACTGATTGGAGAAGACCAACTAAAATGACAATGCACTTCACACATCACTGCTGATAACAGAATTTTCGGTCAGTAACTTGATGCCACTTGTTCCCAATTTCATATTCACTGGACTAAGCCCCAGCAGACTTACCGTATTTACTTTGATATAAGACGACCTCACGTATAGGACAAGATGTGACTTTAAAGATCACAATAAATAAAATTAGATTTAGTAATGTAATTCTAATTTTATTTTGTATAATCACAAGTAAAATATCAAATGAATATGGTGCAGAAGCAGGTGGTTTAGCTGAACAACCAATGGAAGAAGCAGGAATGACACCTGAAGTTATTCAGAAGGTATTTTTTCATACTTCAATCAATTTGAATTAAAACTTTAAATTTATTATTAACTGTTTTAATAAGTTTATTTTTTATTGATCTATATAGTTACAAGATAAAGCAACTCTTCTCACCACAGAACGAAAGAAAAGAGGCAAGACTGTTCCGGAAGAACTTGCTAAGCCAGAAGATATTCGTTCCTATCACACACTTGCATCACATCCTGTATATGAAAAAAACTTTATTAATTAACTTAATTTTTTAAAATGTTAAACAGTGAAATTAAAGTTTATTTTATTTTTATAGGGTTTGCATAGTGCTAGTGTTCCAGGTATTCTTGCAATGGATGTTTGTCCCAGTGATACTAGTAAAATACTGACTGGTGGAAATGACAAAAATGCAACTATTTTTAATAAAGATACTGAGCAAGTAATTACAATTTTGAAAGGCCATACAAAGAAAGTTACATCTGTTATATATCATACAGAAGAAGTAAATATCTTTGTTTTTTTATATGTATAATAATAAATATTTAATTTTAAGTTAATAGTAATTCTTAAAATTTGAATTAAAATTACAGTGACATGAAATTTATATTATATATTATTGTATTTTCAGAGATATATATATACAATTTATTTCTATTAAATTGTTTAGATTTACCATATTTACTCACATATACAGGGCTTAAAGTGACTCGCTTTTTTGGCTTTTTTCACTTTCCATGTGGAATTTATTTATTTATTTTTGTAAATGCGTTCAGGAGCAAAATAATGTGACCAGCACACTCCCATACTGCAATCATCCAACATTCAAGCTGCAAGAAACATATAAATAAATGCAATTGAAGCCTTTGGTCCCAAGTAGTTAAGACTGATGACTGCCCCTCAGATGTCTCAGTGTCAAAGTATTAGTGCCGAAAGTGTTGCTAGTGTGATGAGCAATGTTGTAGACTCGGGTGCCAGTTCAGAACACCAATCACTGTAACAACCAGTGCTTCGACTTTGTACTGCAAAAGATGGTGCTTACATTGCAGAGCTTTATATGGATTATGAAAATGACTGCCAGCAATTATTCATTTGCATCATGTCATGATATAATGGAGACAATTAATGCCAAGTGTGCAGATAATCTTCCAAAAGAATTCTCATTGTCACATCAAAAAATGAGATACTTAATCACTGAAGCTTTGGCCCCATATTTCTTTGATCAAATGATAAATGATGCACAATGGTCATATTATAGCATTTCTTATGGTGAGACATGCAATGTAGAAGACAGAAAATAACTACAAATACTGATTAGATACTGGTCAGAGGAACAACAGGAAATTGTCTGCAGGCATCTCCAGACCTCATTTATTGGGCTATGCAGATGCCTAAACAATTAAATCAAAAATAATACCGGCAATTGAAGATGCATATCTACTTTTGATAAATTACTGATGATTGGATTTAATGGACCAAACATAAACAGAAAAGTATTGCATCTCACAAATGAGGAAATTCTGACAACTTGCAAAAAAAGGCCTCATCAACATAGGACTTGCAGCATTTGTACAATCCACAATGCCTTTTTGAAAGGCCTAAAAGAGTGGTGATCTCATCATAGCAACACAGCTTTTTTGATGGGTGCCCTCTAGGTGGGATGAATACACAGAAATTCAAGAGAAACTTAATTTGCCATGCTACAAATTTATGCAGTATTCATCAACTAGATGATAGACATTTGGTCCTGCAGCAAAACAACTGATTGAACAATGGGAAGGACTCATATTATACTTCCTAAAGCACATTCCTCAAGAATTCCAGCTTAATGAATAGTGTTTCATATAAGATAATCTGAAAGCCATTGAAGTGTTCTACCATCAAAGCTGAATTCTATTTGGGAATATCTAGTACTGAACTATTCACAAAGTTTACTGGGCATTTTCAGTGCAATGATCCTTTAACACATAAACTTTATAGTGAATTCCTTACTCTGGTGTGAAGAGGAGAAAACAAGAGAAGTGCAGAAACTGCAACATGACTTAAACAAAAGAAAATCATCATTAATTAAATTTTTTTAACAAGAAATCAAAAAATGTACCTTGAAATGAATGACATTTGAAATTTGACATGTTATATAGAGACACATTCTGGTAGTTATGTTACTCTTCCATTTCCTTTGCCATATAATGGTAAGAACTCTGTACAGGGCACATGAAAACTTAATGCAGTCTTACTGGTCACTTTTCTGAAGTATAAACTCAGTGTAACTATTTTCATATTTAATTTTTTCAGTCCAATTAAAAATCAATCTAATATCATATGCAATGTTATTGATATAAAATGTGTATGTGGTTTTGTTTTTTTTTTTAAGAATGCCTCTTTTAGTTCACTTTAACACTAACTTTTTTTAGTGTGAACTCTCTTTTTCACTGCCATGACTGCTTTAAGCCCTGCATATAGAACGAGGTGTGACTTTAAAGATCAAAATAAAAAAAATTAGATTTATTATTACAATTCTAATTTTGTATAATCACAAGTAAAATATCAAATGAACATAAATGCACACATTGTCCTGCAAAAATTACTGGCATTTTAAACTTTAAACAAAAATCTTGTAAAATCTACAGCATAATTTGTTAACATAAAGCCGGACAATCGGGATCCTGTTTTGCCAACTCTTAACAGTCGAATCTACTTTCTGTCGATTACACTTAAGAGTTTCTCCGAATTCTGATTTCCAAATAATCATCCATTTTCACGTGAGAATGGATTAAAACTTATATCGGGCTCTCGTGTGATTTTGGAATTTCATTCTGGAATTCAATTCAAAAGCTTCGCTTTTCCTATCGTTATTCATTTTTACTCCCAACAATATACAAGGACGATTCAAACGACCCAGATAAAATACTTATGTTTTTAGATACGACAGGGTAAGATTCCGGTAAAAAATGCAAATACACAATTCACAAAAATTATTTTCAAAACACAGACAATCTTTCACTCGCGTGTATAGGACGATCTGGGAATTTGAAGCTGTGATAAATGTATAGAAACCTCATCTTATATGCGAGTAAATATGGAAGTTTAAATTTTTTTAACACTTGACTACCATTTATTAAAAAATAAATAAATTTGGTTTTCATTTTAGGAGACAGTTATTACAGCTTCTCCAGATACAATTATTCGTATTTGGCACGTACCAACTTCTCAAACTGTTCAAGCAATTCGAGCTCACGAAGGTCCAGTTACGGGTCTTAGTTTACATGCAACAGGAGATTATCTTCTCAGTACATCAACAGATGAGCATTGGGCATTTTCTGATTTAAGAACAGGCAGAGTTTTGACAAAGGTTGGAGATACTTCTACTCCTCATGGTGAGTTGAAATTAGAAATTATGTTTATAATTAGTTTTAGTTTGTAAAAAAATATTACAATATAATTTAATATAATGATCTCAATGTTATTCTTTGGAAAATGTGGTAATTGTGAATGATGTTAATATTATGCATATTAAAATTGCTATTTACATTTTTTATAACTCAATATAAAATAAGAATAATTTATATTATTAGATATATTGATTGTCTTCTTTAATTACTAATAACATTCTAAAATATCTTTGATGTAATACAACAGTGTGGCTTATAAAGTGAGTTTACAGTGTTGAAAATGTCACAAAGAATATTAGTAATTTTCTGTATAAATCCTAAAGTGAGGTTTAAGTATTGTCAGTTTATACATATATAAACAATTTACCTAAAAGCAACTCCCACATATTTTAATGCTAATGAAATAAAATATTTTCTTGCTTCAGATGTTTGCAATATTATATCACTAAGAAATGCCTTCCAATTGGCTTTATTAAAATGGAAGCAGTCAATGAGAGTACACTTTATGACATCACTAGTATGATTTTTTTCTGTTATAAATGCTATGAAGTGTAAAATATTCTGCTAACTTCATGATATTGGAGAAATACTATGTTGTATCTTCCAAGAATTTATGAATCTGGGCTCTGCTGGATTGGAATTAGCAGTTCATCCAATAGAATGCTGAAATTCTGTTTCGTTTCATACAAAAATGTATTTTACTGTTGTCTTCTGACTTGAAAGTTATTTAATAATTAAAATTGTATATGATTGTTACTATAAAATGGATTTCTACACTAGAGTTAAAAAATGAAACAAAAATTAATATAGCAATGGTGTTATCATTAATTTTGATTTCATTAGCAAAATGAAATGATATACAGTAACCATCCTTATCTGCAGGAGATATGTTTTAAAACCCAGTGGATGCCTGAAACCACAGATAATATCAATCCTACATGTACTGTACTTTGTTTCCTGTACATACACACCTATGATAAAGTTTAATTTATAAATTTGGTACAGTAAGAGGTAAACAAGAATAACTAATAATAAAATAGAACAATTACAATAATATACTTTAATAAAAATTTATGTCATTCAGCATATTAGTTTTTCTTTTCTTCTTCTTAAGTCAAGAACTTTTATCTTTTCACTTAAAGGACACACACTAAGGTTTCTCTTTGGCATATCCAAACTTCCAGCATCACAGTGCTTAAATTGTAGGGTTACTTAAACAAAAGCACTGTGATATATGACAGTCAGTCTGACAACTAAAATGGCTACTAAGTGACTAGTGGGTGGGTAGCATATACAGCATGAATACACTGGACAGAGATGATTTATGTCTTCAGTGGAATGAGACCTCAATCTTGCTACTCAGAATGGTGCACAAGTTGTTTATTTTAGAATTTTATTTTTAATGTGATTGAAACTATGAATATTATTCAATAATTTTACTTTATTATTCAAAGTGTTCTTTTGATAATCTTTTAAATGTTATAATTACCATTTTATTAATTAGAAAAATGTTCTTTTATTAGCTTTGACAACAGCACAATTTCATCCAGATGGTCTTATTTTTGGAACTGGTACATCTGATTCTCTCATTAAAATTTGGGATCTGAAGGAAAGGACAAATGTTGCAAACTTTCCTGGTCATTCTGGGCCTATTTCTGCAATTGCTTTCTCAGAAAATGGTTACTATTTGGCGACTTCAGCAGATGATTCAGTTGTCAAATTATGGGATTTAAGAAAATTGAAAAATTTTAAATCAATTACCCTTGATGAAGGTTATGAGGTAGAGTTGAAACTTTAATCTGCTTTTTATTCTCGAAAAGTAACAATTTTCATATATAATAATTAATTTTTAGGTTAAAAATTTAAGTTTTGATCAGAGTGGAACATTTTTAGCTGTTGCTGGTACTGATGTTAGGTAAGTAATTTTATTCAATGATATTTAAACACATTTTCGAAACAATGTAAAAAATAAATTCTTGCTATAAAAACTAAGTAAATCTTATTATTTTAGTATCTAATTCTACATTCCAGAATATTTTTTTTTATTTGAAAAACTATGTTAAAAATTCAAAATATTATATTTTATTAATTATGTTTGCAGACTATGTTAAACATTTATTATACAAGGTGCAATCAAAAAGAAACTAGATTTGGTCTATAAAAATTTTTAAGTAATTTAAATCTAGCTGCCATCTCCTTTACAATACTCCTCTTCTGCATTTACATAGAGATCCCACCACTTGAACTACACCTGAATTGCAATATATGCGTATCACACTGTTCAGAAAATAATGTCAAGACAATGAAAATAAATACTGTTAAAATGCTTTAAAACACAAAATAACTAAAGTTATTTTGTGTTTAACCTTTAGGGTAGAATTTGACAGAAAAGAACAAAATTTGAAGTTTCTTTACATCAACAGGAATAGTGGGAGGCATGTATGAGAATAAATACAATATTATAATTTATGCTAATTTTGTTTACAAAAATAAAAAAATTCACAAAATCTTGGTAAAATATACACAGTAAGTTGAACCAGTTTAAACAAAGGCTCAGATTATTTTCTTTTGCAGCATCATATTATTTAAAGATGGACTAAATGGGGATTTTTAAAGGTGAAGTGATCACTTTCAGTGTGAAACAGAGGCTGCAAATGCTTCTCAGTGGTCATAGTACATCAGAATTGGAGAGTTGATAGCCTTATATTATAAATAAAGAAGGATTCCCAGTAGAAGACGGTAGTATTGTCTCTGGGGAAAACAGACCTACATGATTCCAAAATAGTATGTAGTAGTGCTCTTGGGTTACCAATTTTGCAAGCTTGTTATACTTTTTTGAAGGACTACTGTGGCCCCTATGGCTAGGTTAGTGTATCATCTCGCCATTAGTTGGTGTCTATTTCATTTCCGCATGTTTGGTAGTGATCTCTCATTAGAAACAAGTTGTCTTAAAGTTGTGAGCAGTAAATAGTTGGGTGATTTTTTGAGATATGTCCCTGAAAAGGTACAGATGATTTGGCATTTGCATTCCTAGAGACAACGTGGAATGTTAAGGATAGGAAGGAGGAGTGAAAAACTCCAGGACATCAAACTTAGATTTGTTGTTTGGCCCAGACTCGTGCTTTATGGCAGTGAATACGTCATTAAGAGCAACAGCAGAGTCAGATAAGTTATATGCTCTACGGACGTGTTCTTGAATTTACTAGGTTGAAAGAAGCAGTGTGATTTTTGTAACGGCATAAGCTGGATTGCTTTAAAGAATAAATGTGGGCAGGAGAGAAGAGTGGTTCAGAAAAAGCATCGGTTTTATCAAACATGCAAGCTATAAAAACAGTTTTGCTGGGATTTTATGGTTTATTATATATTTGATTTTAATGATTCGAGAATTTGGATTTCAAATAGAACACTGCATGTTAGTAAGGTTATAAATAATTAATAATCTGAATAAAATTTAGGTGTGTGTGAAAATTCAATTCAGGTTGAACTTTTTAACTTAGCTGGAAATGGCACATTTGTGAATCATTTGGTTCAAACTTTTAGGCATTTATTAATTTTTTAACACAATATAGTTGTAATAATTGTATTTAAGATTGTCTATGTAACACATCAATAATTATCTTATTTGTTTTTTCTTTGTCAACAGAATATATTTATGTAAACAGTGGGACAATCTGAAAGTCTTTTCTGACCACACCGCTCTGGCCACGGGTGTTCGTTTTGGCCAACACGCACACTTCATCGCCTCGGTTAGTATGGACAGGACACTAAAAATTTACGGCATATGATGTCAAGAATAATGAACATAAAAAACTAGGTTAGACTGCGTCGTCACAGCCAAAATGTTTACATGAATTAATACACCTTTCTGTTATGTAACGTCGTCATTATGCAAGTTTTTGTGAAATTTATAATAAATCCATTTATTAAAAAATAAAAGCTCTTTCTTATTAAACAATTTGAATATTTTTAATAGAATTTTATTCAAAAAGTTAACATTGAAAGTTTGATTTGATGTCATTAATTATGTACTTAAATACAGCTCTCCCTTAATAGTCCGACAGGTATGGGACCGAAAATAATTACATATTTTGCATTGTTTTGCTAGCAGTAGCTTACAATATTCCCTACTCCAACTGCTCACAGAAAACACACGAAATGTGTGTCACCGTGTAAGAATTGGATGGGGGGATTCACGTCACAACATGCTTCTGTGCAAGCAGACACGTAACTGGGACGGGTACCTTGATGGGAGCTACGTCGGACTATCAAGGGAGAGCTGTATTGCTTAATGAAATTCTTAAAATAATAGATGCGTATCTGTCGGTCTGATTCTATCGGACAATTTTTTTTGTAAGATTGTTTGGTGTTGGTTAGGAATCAAACAGGCTTAAGTAAGCTCAGTTTGATCCTCAGCATTGGAGGTGGAGGTGTTGGGATAAATCGTCTGGATGTACGATTTCCCGCACTTTTCCTGTTTTTTGAACAAGCAACGGCTGTCGTCATGGAAATGCAGATCAGGTAATGTCGGTATTGTTGGAGCTTGACCGCGGATTGGCTAGAAAACATTGTACGACCAGCAGACGTCCGATAGCACTACTGAGCGCTGATTGGAGGACTTACATTCATTTCAATCCATCTGAAAACAGTAAATTACGATAAGAGAATAAGATGTGTAAAAAAAAAATGAAAGTGTCCTTACCATTGAAGATTTCGGGAAATATTCACTTATATGATGAACAGCCGCTTTGTCCTCTTCAAACCGCAGCTGTCCACAGCAACAAAACCACGGTCCCGAGACTTCGGCGACCAAAGTCTCGGGACCGTGGTTTTGTTGCTGTCGGGAAGAAGGCTCTCCTCAGATTCCTCCCCATTCTGACTTCCGCAAGGCAGTGGTGGACGAAGAGGTAAAATGTGAGAAAACAGGAAGTGATAACTCAAATGAGCTGTCACTCCCTACATTCTCCACAACAAGGTCTGTGGCCAGATGACCCCCAAAGACCTTGGCCAAGTGTGACAGACCCATAGTGTAGCATCGCATAATCTCGACTTCGGAAGAGTGCCACGCCACATGCACTCGAGGAAGGTCTTCACCCGCTGCCTCTCGCTTGAGCCTCCAGTGTTCCAATGTCTCTCCCGGCATGGTCAGAGTCTAACAGACTCGTTCCGTGCCGTCTGAGGAACACCCTCCGGCACCATCGCCTTCTTCCATCAGAACCACTCCAACATCATCATTCTGTAAAAAAGAAAATTTGCAATTAGTCGAGTGAAAACAAAAGCTTAAATTACATTGACGAGAAAAGCAAAATGCTCACCGCAGTTCCATATTTAAATCTAAAAGATTTGAATTGCCCATCAATGGGCCGAGATGTCTTCTGGCAATGATTCTTCTGCAAATATTAAATAAAATCTTACGTCTAGGATGAATATTAACTATTACCTAAAAAATCTTTAGCAAACAGCGAAACAATCAACGCAATCAGAGCTCAACAAAAGCACAATCAAACTGCAAATTGTCACGTGTGACAAATTTCAAACAAACATTAAAAGACACGTCAACAACGTTTGAATTTTGTAAGAATAAAATTTAAAAATAAATTTTATTATTTTAATGAATTAATTTATAATTTTTTCTTCAAATTTTGCTTCAATCATTTTCTTGTGTTCAGAATTTGATAAATAAATTGTCTTCTGCACTTACATGGTGCAGAATGTCTACAGTGGAGGGGTAAAAGACAATGTTAAATTCTATGTCTCGAGGCTTGATGATACCCGAAATTTGAACGAAATTCGTTTGAATAAGTCAATTAATATCTATTTCGTCCATTCAATGAAATGAATCAAATTACTAAGATTTTGATTTATTTTGCTTTTTGGAGATTCCTCGGTCACCGTCGGGATTTCGCGTATTAATGCAACATCAAACCGGATAAAGTTAAAGTTAAAGTTAATATTAAACTGGTTACCGATTAGACATCACCGGAGAGTGACAAGTTAGTCAAAGATTTTGTGTTCTAGCAATTATCTGCACAATGGCATAAGTGCAAAAGAAAAAGGCCCACCAGTGGCGAAGTGGTCTTCATTCCCCGAACACAGGTTCAGTAATGGGTTCACACTTCGCTCGGACGGGCTGGCCACATGGAGTTTTCTCCACATCAGTAACGCATAAATATGGACCAGTTTCCCTTAAAAAGACCTCCCGGAAGACACCCCCCCTAGGCAGATCGCCCAAGTGTTGCATTGCCATAACTAAACAAACAAAGCAAAAGAAAATATTTTTGATCATCCTTTTAAATAAATAATTACTAAATTGAAAAAGCATAAATTCTTTTATTATCTAAGAAATTGGCATGGCTATAAAATTATACAATGAAAAAATAATCTTATATAAAAAAATTTATAAATACAGTATCAAAATTCACTCGCTATCTGAAATGATAATTTTCTTCTTCTTGCATGCACTAATAATGGCACTTTCCTCTGAAGAACTTTCGTATTTATCCATTGCAGACAGGTCTTCCGTCGATTCTTCGTCCTCCGAAGATATGACGGAGACATCGGTTATTTTGTCGTAACTTTTATCGTCCAACAACATCGGAACCGGCTTGATGGACTTCCCGGCAGATCCCAAGGGACTGGAAGTAGCCGGATATCGTTCCATCGAAGCTTTCAGGGCTTTCTGAAAGGGACTGTTCGCCCCGTAATCGGATGATTTGGATACTCTGAGCGGTGTTATTCGCTTAACAAACGACAACATCGTTTCCGTCCCGTTTTTATCCGTTAACAATCGATTTTCTTTGTCCACAATTGAAATTTCCGAATTGTCCCTACTAAATTCCATAGTTTCGTCTTCCACAAACTTTGCCAGAGATTTTAAATCAACAGAACTCTGACATAAATTTCTATTAGGAACCACAGATAGATTTTCGCTTCCGATTTGAGTTAATGCGTTGTGTTTGTCCATGTGACAGTCGTCTTCGATTATCACAAAGTTGTGCTGCGATGTCGCAAAATTAGTAGAGCGATCGATGGATCTGGCATCGTCGCCGTCTTCACTGTCGCTAGAGATGTATACAGTGCTGTGTGCCTTGCTTGACACTTGCGATCTGTCGGCTGAACGATTCTTCCGTGTGACTTCGGGCACAGACTGCAACCGATCCGAGTTTGCATCGCGTCGATGTTGGACCTCTCTTAGGGGGTCGAGTTCGGAACTATCAAGAGATTTGTTTCTGTATTCGATGTGGGTGCAGACCAGATCATCGTCATCTCCGTCACTCTCCGGTATGAACAACTCTGTGCTTAAGTCACACCTGGGAGAAATGCTTTTGCTGTTGTCACTGTCCGGAACATATATGGATTTTCTCAAACTACAAAAATTAGAAGAAATGTTTTTAGCTATTCATATTATAAAACACTGAACTTTGTTGTAATATTTTATCAGGTTGTAAAAGTGAAATTATGACATTTTGACTTGTTTCTAGAAACAACTGGGAAAAATGTTCTACAATGTGCGATGTGGGTATTTAAGTACAGTAACCAAAAGACATTTTGTCACTTATTTTGTTGGGAAGCAATGCGTGACAATACAAAACTTTTGAAAGAACACATTTGCATGCGCTATTTGTCTATTGCTTCAAAAGTGGCCACAACACAACCAAGGCTCGAGACTCATCTGCAAAGTATTTGTTAGTGTTAGTGGGTGAACAAAGGTCGATCGACTACTGCAAATGTCGAAAGGCCAATGGTGCTGAAGAAGGCGATGATCTGTGTTTGTGGAACTGCTTCCAACCGACATCATTGTCACGAAAGAACTCTGATCATTTCAACATCAAGATCAAAGAATTTCATCCAAAAATCAACAAAGTTTGAATCCACTATGACAATGTGCCAGCACATAAAGCAAAGATGACTGTAAAGAAGCTGGTCAATCTGGAGTGGGAGGTAGGGTTGCCACCTGTCCGGGTTTGACCCGGAGACTCCGGGATTGAGTGAGTTATCTCCGGGCTCCAGGGTTAATTAATATTTCTCCGGGTTGTGCAAATTGAAATGAATATGTACAAAATTATATGCAAACCGTCGCATATATTTCTTCCCTCGTGTACCGAATTACTAGTGTGGTAGTCGTTGGCTTAAAGACATAACGTCTATAACTGGCATAGGTGCAGTGCTGCTGCATGCTATGTGGATGTACTCTTTCTTGTGACTGTTTTGTCAAGAGATGTCTATTGAGAGTGAAATGATATAGCATACATAGCTGATAGTTTGATAATCAGTGTTCATGTTGGTTGATTAATGGTAAGTTATAGTATATAGTTAGAGTTAGACTTGAGCAGGTTAAATAGCATTACATAACAAACGGTCTGTTGGACCCNATCGTCTCCGGGCGAGACTAAGTTCTGAGGTGGCAACCCTAGTGGGAGGTTCTGCCTCGTCCACCTTATGGTCCAGACTTGGCTACTGACTACCATCTATTTTGCCCCTGCAGAAACATATTGGCAATACATAGTTCAACGACAATACCGTATGATCAAGATCTTTTTTCAAAGAAAAATCCCAGTTGTGCTATGTTCACGAGACCGTAAATTTGCAACAAAAGTGGTGGGATGTGATTGATACCTACAAGACTGAACTGTAATCATTGTTGAGTTAATTGTCAAAAAAGTTTTTTCCCAAAAATGTTTAAATTCACCTTTACCATCTAACAAAGCTGACTTATCCAAGTTAAGTTAATAAAGATTATAGATTTTTTAAAATTTATTATGAAAGCAAAGAAGGAAAGAAAAAAAACTAAAAACTTCAGACACAAGGCATAAAAATGTACAAAAACTTATTTTTGAAGATAAAATTAACAGGAATGAGAGTTGGATGAAGATCAAAAACCTCATTCAAGGACATTGAAGAACTGAGATACCAGGTAATTGAGTTTCTAAGAATTTGTAGTAGTAGTAGTAGTAGTAGAGCACTATTTAGATTCATAACAGCATGTCTCCAGGAGAGGTAGAGAAGTTAGTTTTCAATAGAGAGATGATTTTATTATTATTATTAATTTAAGAAGCCTTTATATGAAATAATTATACAATAGGTAGGGGAGGTATATTTTGTTTGTAAATATGATAAATATGAAAGCTGCTATTGATTTGTCTTTGTTATTAAAAATAAAATGAACATTGTATTTATTCTGTTATACTGCAATTTTAATTTAGAGTATTTCAATTAATTTCTGATTTGTTTGGGATAAATTTTGTCAGATAATTTTCCAAATTTTAACATTATAAAATTGTTATGCACAATGATAACTATGATATATATGGACTCAAAAGTTCTCTAGTGCCCACCAGGCAGAAAATTGCACCCATTATGAGTGGCCAGATGGCTAGTGACAAAACCTGACATATCACCAGGATTTGGTTTGGTGCTCCCAAAGAGCCAGAATGACACCTTGGCCATCATCTGGTATCTACAAAAAATTATTTTTAATGAATAAATTGGAAAATCATTGTTTTGATAAATTTGTACAGGCAATTTTTATTTTTAATTATTTATTTTAATATAAAATTAAGATCAGATAATCATTGGGGTCATTACACTTTATAGTTTGAGCTACAAAAAACCTTATTCTTATTGTTTCTTGATACAAGTGCATAATGCTAGGCAGGGCATAATACAGAAGCAGAAGTTTGTGCAAGAAATGACTACAGGCACAATCAATAACTTGCCAGTTCTTCACAGGTGCATTCTCAGAATTTATTAATTTTTTGGTGTATGTGTTTTGTGTGTGTGTGTGTGTGTTGACACAGATATGTTTATTTACAAACAAAATAAAATCACATATATCACATTTATGATATCTGGTCTGATGTGCTGTACTGTGATTATGGCTTATAGTTGATTCCTCTGCCTGTTTCTTGGGCTCTATTGAGTGTTTTTCCTGCTACTTCTTGTCATTTTAGTTAATATTTGTGTTACTGCTTAGATTTTGAGTTAATTTTTCATTCTTAATAGGCTAGATTTTTCATTTGTTAGGCTTAGCTGGTTCAGTTTCTGTTTTGGCTTTGCCAGGCAGAAACAGTTTCTTTGATTTAATCAATTTAAATTTAACTTACTCCTTTTAAACTTCCATTCAATCACCTTCTTGTTCTTGGCTGGCTTTTGTGTATTTTCAGTTTTAATTAATTAAGGGTGTTTTTCAATTAATTAGTCTTATCTCAGTTTAGGTCTAAGTTAGATAGTTCTCCTTTTGTAGTTAGCTAGTTAGGTCTTCAGGTGTTTAGCTTCCTCTATAATTTTGGATTTTCTCATTCTAGTTTTCACATTTTACTGCATTTCAGTATTTTTGGTTTTTCAGGTTTTCCTGAGTTGTTCTTCAGCCTTCTTGGTTGAAAGTTCATAGTTAGGCTTTACTAGGTCAGTTTCAAACTGCCCAGCCATTATCATAGCTTTTTCAGTGTTAGTTAGTATTTTAACATTTTTGTGGTTTCTTGTTTTTGTAGTTAGTTTTCCCTTTGTGTAATTCATTCCCTTACTAGGTGCTTTGTTAGTTTCATCTTTCTAGGCCACACCATTTTCGAGTTTTTCAGTTACACTGCTTTGCAGTATTTTGGTTTTCAGTTCTATTCTTTTCCTTGATTTAAGTTATATGTTATTAGTTTTAAGGTAGTTTAAGTAGTTTAATTTATTTCTAAATGGCTTGTCCATCTAGTTCTGGAAACACTGGTGCCGAGAGTCCGTGGAAGTATTATTTACATTGCCACAAAGCACAACAATAATTGTATGTGTAATTATTTTTCATCTTCCTGCTTTGTAAAAGAAAACAATTTCCACATCGTTTACATTGTGCTAATTTTTACAACGCTATAATAATAATTTACATATAGCTTTATTTAAAAATTATTTTTATGTTGTAAACGTAATGATTTTTATATTGTACGGTACACCATTTAAATATTTAAAAATTTGGAACACAGCTGTATTAGACAGAAGTTTTCACATGATAGAACTGTTTTTTTGTGTGTTTCATACATTCCTGAGGATGGCCTCTAAAAGAAGGCTGAAAATGTTCAAGCATTAAAATTTTTTGTTCATTCAGTGCTGGAATTAGCATTTAGGTGTTAATTGTTGTGTTTAGTATATAGTTCCAGTTTACTTGTGCTAGTTTTTTGTCTGACTAATAATTTGTGTTTGTTTGCTTGGTGTATTATACTTGCTACTTGATTATGTCTACGTAAATAATCTCTCTGTGCCAAGAGCTTATTATTATTATAATATTATTTTATAAACATTTTTTATCTGTGATTGTTTAAATCCATGGATGCAGACTATAATTATTGTGTTATAATTATTATTACATCCTTTCAAATTATTACTGCTTATATATCCTTTATCCAAAAAAATACTGTGTTAAAGTACTATCAATCAATATTAATAAAAATTATTCAAGTAATTATAAATTAGATATCATACCTTTTTTCAGTTTGAATTCCTAATTTGTCAATTGTTTCAGTATTTTCTATCTACAAAATAAATATTTTTCTTAAATTAAAATACACATAAGACTGTAAAATGTAAAAAATNTAGTAATGTCATTGAAAGACCAACTCTGGGTTCAACTCCAAACATAGCTTTGTAAGGTGATTGTTTTATGCCTGAATGATAGGCCGTGTTTTTCATAAATTGTACATATTTCAAGCCTTCTGACCATTTAGTCGATTGACTATCTTTTAGCCAACAACTGATCATGTTCTCGACATCTTGGTTGGCTCTCTCGAAGGAGCCCTGACTTTGGCTGTGCCGGGGTTTTCCATGCACTAGCTTAAGTTCTGGCCAAAGACTCGTCATTTCACATATAATACAATTGACGAATTCTCTTCCATTGTCTGACTGCAAAATACATGGGGCACCTATTGTCAAAAATATGTCATTCAAATGGTAGGCTACTTCTTCAGCTCATTTAGATTCCAAAGCACGAGGCAAAATAGACTTAATCAAGTGGTCTTGGTAGACCATGATAAATTTAAACTTTCCATCAGGTTAAGTCTGAAAATTAAGGAGATCCACTTGGCACCTACTGTTCATTTCAGAATGTAAAATTGGCTTAGAAACTGAACCTCTCCTTATTATTTTTTTTTTTGTCTTCTTTTCTTGGCATGTTACACACACAGATAAAAAAGAGTTAATCGTCTGTTTTGTGACATTAGCATATTTTAAAGATGTCTCAGCCAATAATCTGTCACGTTTACCATGTCCGACAGCTCTGTGAGCTGCATCAATAACGTCATACAATTCCTCAGTGGGAATAAAGTATTTTATGTTCTCTTCACTACAGGCAACAAGTTTTTTTTAACAGAACCAATGTTTAAAATTGCAAACCATTAAAATGAGATTTTATATTTTCACTTTGCAAAATTTCTTTTAAAAGCCGCTCTCTCCATTTTAACTGATCAACTTGAACACTAGATGATGGCTCATCCATAATAAAAATATGAAAATAACACAAAACTTTTAGACTAGGTATGTTCAAAAAATCAAATTAATACAGCTTCACAAATTGCATGTAAGTACACAAGTCACAAGACAATTGTGCATAATGAGTGAATTCACATTTTTCTCCGGATGCTCACCCTCTGGTGTTTAAAAATAAAACTATTTTATCTGGGTCATTTGAATCATTCTTGTGTATTAGCAGTAAAGATGAATAGCAATAGAGAAGCTTTCTGTTGCGTTCCAAATTGAAATTTCAAAGCCATACGGGAGCCCAATATAAGTTTTCATCTATTTCCACATGAAAAACATATTATTACTCAAAAATTAGTCGGTTATATTTATTAGCTTCTCTGAATTCTGAAAGAGTGGATTAGACTTAAGAATTGTCAAAAGTTTCCCCATTATCCAGCTTCACATAAAGAAGTTATACTGTCAATTTTAAAGGATTGTTCCTTAAAGTTTAAAATGCCAGTAATTTGGTAGAGGATGTCAGAGCTGAAGACTTTTAACACAAAGGGCACAAATATGTATAGAATGATCTTGCTCATTTGTTTTGATACCACATAATGACGTGTCTGCTAGCAATAATTGTTCTCCTATAAAATTTCTCAATTATCAGCTATAAGCAGCATATATCATATAGTTCATATTTAAAATTTTTTTTTAATTCTCAAATGCCACTAATTTTGTGGGATATATCAGAGCTGATGTTTTTTAACACAAAGGGCACAAATATGTATAGAACGATCTCGCTCATTTGTTTCGATNAAAGATATTTGTAATAAAAATTAAATTTTTTTGTTGAACTTAAAAATGTACTTTAAACTTCACTAGAAAACTTACAAATTTATAGAATAAAGATAAGTAAAAAGTCGAATTAATTTTAATTATCATAATGCATTTTAACACAGTTTTTGGATTCTTGTTTCAATGCATATTTCTTATACAATCTGTATACATATGAAATTAATTTTTGTCATTTTAATTATGAAATATAGTCAAACCTCAATTTTTGAACAAATCTGTTCACAAACAGAATTTCAAACTCATATTTGCTCCAGTTGCTGTATGATTCTGTGATTATCAAACAAGCTATTCAACAAGAGTTGACCACAGATTAGAGAGACAGATAGTCAACTTCCTATACTTCCTACATTAAAGAAAGTTGACTGTCCAACCAATCTATGACAGGGCTACTGATTCAGAAGTTAGTGGCGCTGAGATTGCTCACACCATTAGACATCATGACATTAATCATTATTGATGTTGCTATTTAAATTTGATTTTGATGCACTTACAAAAAAGATATTATCAATACTTCTATTTTTCAGTTGAATTTAAATTAATAAAAACCACATTAATTGAGAATCACATAATATAAATGGCATCCAAGAATTCATCTTTAAAGGTGCTTAAGTCAAATTAAATAAAAATTATATGTATATGTTACCGGCCAAACGGGTTTATCCTACGAGTGTCAGGATATACTAGTTTAGCCCAGGGCAATCTAGTTTGGCCTAAATACTTTAGGCTTAACTAGTTTGACCTGATTTAGAATTATTATTCAAGTATATTAATGGTTAAAATAAAATTAAAAGACCATCAATTAGAAGAACAATATTTATTGAAACATAGTCTACTTAATTATAAAAAGCAGTTTTGATTAGAAGAGACACAACACTTGTACAAAACTATAAAATAAAAATAAGTTAATCAGTACTTATCAGTTTGTATTTTTTTTATTAAGCCATGTGCTTTTAAAGGTAATTAACTTTCAAAAATATTTTCAAAAATTCAAACAAAATAATTAAAAATAATTTTTAGAGTCAAACTAAAATTAAAAATGAACTTATTTGTACTTCTTAGTGTGACATATAAAATATTTAATCTTTTATTTATTTTTACAGGGTGTACTATGGTGGCATTTCGAATTACCCAAAATGATTTTATTTTACACTGGCACCTATTTGTAGCACAGTTTTTAGTGCAGGTGCACCTCATAAAACCTTGTCCTGTCCCAACTGAATGTTTGGTAGCTCCTTAGTGAGATTTGAACATCTTGATTAACATCAATTTCTTGTAGAAATTTTTGAGTACAATGGTCAAATTCAGTTCTGTAATAAACAAATATCATATTTTGACTAAATTACATAACATACATATGCTTTTTAGACCAAACAAGATGGCATTTAACATTGCACTTTTTTTGTTTGAAGATCTTTATCAGGCCTTCATTATAAGTAAATATTATACAAAAACCCTATCTGAAAAAAATTCATAAAACTTGAAAACCTCTTTCAAATATAAAAACAATAATCATCGAAATCAGTTCAGATTTGACAGTGAAATACAGTAACATCATTGTTAAAAAAGTTTTTTTTTTTTTTTGAAATAATTTGAGAAAAAATAAATAATAAAATACATAACTAACCTGCAATAGAGTGTCTGTAATATTCCAGGCTTAGTTCCAATTTTGTACAGGCCATCATTGTTTATTTCAAGAAGAACACCAATAACATTTCTTAGGTCTACATCAGGAATGGGCACAGTTACATTATCTCCCACTTTAGCTGGNCTTCACACGTGTCGGGCTGCGATTGGCTCATGTATTTAATGATTCCTACAACGTAAAATTCGATTAACGTGGAACGTATCTAAGAGTTATAGGGGGGGTCTACTGTAATTTGATAAAAAATAAATAATAAAATGCGTAACTAATCTTCAGTAGAGTGTCTGCAATATTCCATGCTTAATTCCAATTTCAGCAGCTGTTTGTCTTGCCTTTTGGATATCATCATCAATTTTAGAAGTTTTGGTATCATTACCATCACTATCATCTCCCAAATGGTTGTGATCATTTGTCTGTCTATGGGTTAAATCAGTTTCAATAAGTTTTTGAAGGTCATCTTCATCTTAAATATTCTTTATTACTTCTGGTAGTAGTAATGTCATTGAAAGACCAACTCTGGGTTCAACTCCAAACATAGCTTTGTAAGGTGATTGTTTTATGCCTGAATGATAGGCCGTGTTTTTCATAAATTGTACATATTTCAAGCCTTCTGACCATTTAGTCGATTGACTATCTTTTAGCCAACAACTGATCATGTTCTCGACATCTTGGTTGGCTCTCTCGAAGGAGCCCTGACTTTGGCTGTGCCGGGGTTTTCCATGCACTAGCTTAAGTTCTGGCCAAAGACTCGTCATTTCACATATAATAGAATTGACGAATTCTCTTCCATTGTCTGACTGCAAAATGCATGGGGCACCTATTGTCAAAAATATGTCATTCAAATGGTAGGCTACTTCTTCAGCTCATTTAGATTCCAAAGCACGAGGCAAAATAAACTTAGTCAAGTGTAGTGATGTGCCGGATCGTTAAAAATGTATATCCGCGGATATGGATACGGATCATTAGAGTCTAGATCCGCGGATATGGATACAGATCTCAACTTTCGTACTCAGTCGGCGCCGGTGCGTGTGACCTTGGACCGATAGTTGACGCGTTGTGTTAATAACGTGACGTGTTTTGACTTGCACCGCGCGTGTTTTTGTTTATAGTGTGAAAGTGTGCTAAATTAGAATTCATCACAAAGGCAGACAGAATAAAGTAACAAAAATTGATATAATTTTCTAATTAAGCTATTTCGCATCTTTATACAGATTCTATTTCGAGGGATTCCAACTTCACGGTACAAACAGTAGCATGCGAAATTACAGCGATAATAATAGTTCACTGTATCCAAAGCACGTGTACAATACAGATCCCGATTGCCACAATATAACCCGGAACCTTAAAACTAACCTTAAACACTTACTTAACACTAATAACAGAAAAAGGGATAGAATTAAGAAGACAGAAAAAAATGGTAGGTATGATAGAAATAGGGATATCTGGGGTTTTATCCCTTTTTCGGCTTGTTTCTTTATGCGTACTATTGGGTGGGATAACACACATCCTTCTCCTATAACTGGCCAGTTCTCTTCTTCAATAATTAGGATTTTTCCTTCCATAGTCGTCAATACGACCTTAAAACAGGATCTTTTTTCTGAACTTATTTCTGAACTATCCGGTCATTGAAAATACGACTCCCAGTATTCCCACCTCGTCTGTACACTCTGCCATCCGGTTTATGAATGACCTGCTACGTCACTTCTCTTTTTTCTCCGGCTTCTGTTTACACCTTTGCTCCTCAAATTTCTAGGAACTGCTCATCCCACCCAAGGGACAGGGAATAGATAAGAAAGTTCTAGAAGAAAATAGAACAGTAGAACAAAGGGTAGAAAGAAGAAACAAAACTAAACTAAAATTAATATTTACAAAAATGTAGCATACCGCCATAATAGTTTAGTGCAGTGTTTCCCAACCTCTTGTGCTATGCCCCACCTAAGCCTTTCTAAAATTCTTATGTCTCCCTAACATATACAGCGGCTATACGGTTAACTTAAACTCTGGACAAGTCCATTTTCAAATTGCCTTCCTTAGCAATCCAATTGCCCCCTGTGGGGCGTGGGCCCCACATTGGGAAACACTGGTTTGTGGCTAGTGTGACATGGGATAGCGTAGATTACGTTTGTGTTTTTGGAGAGTGTTGAGTTAAATTAAAATAAAAACAATGTCGACAAAAAAAGTTTAGTAATGTAATATGGAAATATTTTACGATAGTAAATGACGAATGTGCTATTGCTACCTATCTTTAAAATTTCATATAAGTAACGAAATTCATTAAGATAAAAGATCCGTTAAAGATCCGCTAAAAAGTAACGGATACGGATCTTTTTTTTCCCTCGGATATCCGGCACATCACTAGTCAAGTGGTCTTGGTAGACCATGATAAATTTAAACTTTCCATCAGATTGAGTCTGAAAATCAATGCAATCCATTTGGCACCTACTGTTCATTTCAGAATGTAAAATTGGTTTAGAAACTAAACCTCTCCTTTTTTTTGTCTTCTTTTCTTGACATATTACACACACAGATAAATAAAGGTTAATCATCTGTTTTGTGACATTAGCATATTTTAAAGATGTCTCAGCCAATAATCTGTCACGTTTACCATGTCCTACAGCTCTGTGAGCTGCATCAATAACGTCATACAATTCCTCAGTGGGAATAAAGTATTTATGTTCTCTTCACTACGGGCAACAAGTTTTTTTAACAGTACCAATGTTTAAAATTGCAAACCATTAAAATGAGAAGATTTTATATTTTCACTTTGCAAAATTTCTTTTAAAAGCCGCTCTCCATTTTAACTGATCAACTTGAACACTAGACGATGGCTCATCCATAATAACAATATGAAAACAACACAAAACTTTTAGACTAGGTATGTTCAAAAAATCAAATTAATACAGCTTCACAAATTGCATGTAAGTACACAAGTCACAACACAATTGTGCATAATGAGCGAATTCACAATTTTCTCCGTATGCTCACCCTCTGGTGTTTAAAAATAAAACTATTTTATCTGGGTCATTTGAATCATTCTTGTGTATTAGAAGTAAAGATGAATAGCAATAGATTAGCTTTCTGTTGCGTTCCAAATTGAAATTTCAAAGCCATATGGGAGCCCAATATAAGTTTTCGTCTATTTCCACATGAAAAACATATGATTACTCGAAAATTAGTCAGTTATATTTATTAGCTTCTCTGAATTCTGAAAAAGTGGATTAGACTTAAGAATTGGCAAAAGTTTCCCCATTATCCAGCTTCATATGAAGTTATACTGTCAATTTTAAAGAATTGTTCCTTAAAGTTTAAAATGCCAGTAATTTGATAGAAGATGTCAGAGCTGAAGTTTTTTTAACACAAAGGGCACAAATATGTATAGAATGATCTTGCTCATTTGTTTTGATACCACATAATGACGTGTCTGCTAGCAATAATTGTTCTCCTTCTATAAAATTTCTCAATTATCAGCTATAACCAGCATATATCATATAGTTCATATTTAAAATTTTTTTTTAATTCTCGTTTATACATTTTTCAAATAATCTTAAGAATGTTCCATTTCCGCATTCTATTTGAGAACGCTTTAACCTGAGGAAGATCTCCTGTGTAGATCGAAAATGTTTGTGTTTGCATTAAAATATCCTGGAATTGTACTTCTAAGGTTCAGAGGTGTGCTGTTTTTATGATATATATCATTATATTGGACAGTAATATATGATTAAATTTATATTACTAGTTACAAATGACCCAGATAAAGTAGCCATTTTGTAAAATGCAGTGCCCTCTATAGTTCACAAAAAAAAACAAATAGACAACGAAAGCATGATAGAAAGGGGCGCGAGAGGGAAATCCCTGCGTTAATACGTTCTAATATGTTTTATTTTATCACTTGCAATGAATAAATCAGTTTGGCCTAGGTCAAACTAGTTAAGCCTAAAGTATTTAGGCCAAACTAGATTGTCCTGGGCTAAACTAGTATATCCTGACACTCATGGGATAAACCCATTTGGTCTGAAATCGGATTTGGCTGGTAACATATATATAATACAGTATTATATTATATACAATATTACATTGCATTTGTAAACAGTTTAGCATTAAATACAGCTAAAAAAGTAAAAAAGGCTTTATTTTGGGAGTCAGAAACAGATTAATCCATTTTATATTGTTTCTTGTGGGAAAATTTTTTAGTTTTAGAACAACTTTTAGAAACAAATTATGTTCAAAAACTGAAATTTGACTGTATTGAAATAATTGCAAGTGTCTTATTTCTGTATCTCTTGCTAATTTTTACAGGGAATATACAGTACAATGTAATGGAATACGAATCTTTCTTTGACCTTTAGCCTGTGCAATAAGAGGATTTTGATCCTGCAGTGGTGGGCTGCCTTAGTCATCCAGCTGGCAGGAATGAAATTAGATATGATCATAATATGTAAACTGAAGAGCTTAAATATTTATTTAAGCTGGACATTTAGATATCTTTTGCCATTTCTATGCAAATGTAATTTTCAATTACATTCAAATGAAAATGAGTAACTGAAAAATTGTAAAGCCTCAAAAATGCTTTTTGGACATGAAATTCAATGAAATTTTGGATTTTTTAAATTATAGTAACCAATATACTGTAGTTTGATAATTTTTTATTATTATTATCAATATTGTTTCTAATAATTTTGACTTTTATATCACCAAACATATTTCAAGAACTATTTGTCATAAGTATAGAATTGATAGCATTACAGCTATGTTCATTGTTAGATACATGACCCCGTAGAAAATAAAAAATCCAAACAACAAGAATTTTAAGTTTGCATTAAAAGTCTATTGCTTAATTATCGTTTAAACAAACAGTTTGGTATGCTGCATGTAAGGAACATTATTGATCACTGAAACCTGTGTGCACAAATGACATGTTGAACCTTCATGCTTTGATTAGAGCAGCATTTCTCAAAGTGGACAATAATGCCCCCTTGTGGGCAATGAGTAAATCTAGGGGGTTGCTGGAGGTAGCGTATTGAACGATGACCAAAGGCAAAATTGGGTTTACTGAAAGCTGTTCCCTTTCCTCTGTTACTGATAAGAGGAAACATTGCGTTTAATGGTTTCCAGATGTTGAGAACAGTATACGTTAGGGCACAAAGTGCGAGATTCATAGAAAAGTTTTCCTAAGAATATTTCCAATCCTTCCTCACACAAGAGAAAATGGGTTACGGGGTGTTGAGTATAACTTTATGGAACAAAGGGGGTGGTGGATCGAAAAAGTTTGAAAATCACTGGATTAGAGCATTATTCATCATTGTTCTCATTTGTAAGGTTCAGTTATTTACATTTCATTTGCATTAGATGGTGTGTGCTTTTTATTAGAGAAAGTTAGGTTCATTGTTTTCATTAAAAAACATTATTTATGCTTTTCAAATTTATATGCACAGTGTGTAATGTTAAGGGTCTGTTGAACAAGTTTTAATCACAAGATTAAATGCACTTTAATCTATAAAATTATCCTCAACATGTTGCATGAATGTAAATCTTTAGGATAAACTACCAAAAAAAATTAACCAACTGATTTTGATTGGATAAAATTTATTCTGTAGATTTTCAAACAAACAAGATGACTGACCAGCTGTAATTCCAATGTAGATAACCTTCATTTAGATTATTTTTAAGAAAGATCAGATCTTACAATATTGTGTAGAGAATGTAAGTTTTGAGAATCAATTTCAATTAAAAAGCCACATTTTTATGTTAATTGTCAGAGTTAAATGAATCTTACTTTATGACATGAAATGATCAATTATTTTAATATAAAGTACTTATATTAAAATGTCATTGATGAAATTCATCAAATCCTCTAATATAGATTTTTATATATATTCCAATCTGTCCTATGCTTTTGTTTACTTCCATTTACAGTTTCTTGTTTCTCTCAGTAACATGACAGTAAGAACTTTTCTGCTGACTGGTCAATGGACATCAGTCTAAAAGTTCTGATGAATCAAAGAAACTCAAGCAATGAGCACAGCTTATTCTTTAGATTAGTGACAAGGTAAAATTTATTCTAAAGTAATTATTCTGTAGTTTATATGGTAACTTGTACTGTACAATCAGCCCTAAATAAATTTCTTATATTTTCCTGTTTTAATGGTTGTGTTTGTTGGTAACTTTGTTCCTGACTATAGACATAGACCTGGAACAGATTATCCCTAAATACATACATTGAAATATATGTTAAAATGAACACATGCTATAACACAAAATTCTAGAATCAGTTATGTTTATTCAAGTACACCCCAATGTATATCAATGCTACGAGATTATGTTTTCATAATTAACATCATCCCATATAACCTGAAATTCCATTTAAAATTAAACTAAATACGTAAAATATAATGTCACAAACTTTTAATTGTCATAACTAGTACACATTGACAAAGTTTTTTCATATTTTATTATAAATAAAACGTTTTTTCTAGTGATATAAAATAAAAATAAAACATTAAGAGAATTTTGTGATACTTTCTTTAAAATGTTAATAAATCTTCGATATATTATGACTTACCTCAAAAGAATTTTTATAATTTGGCTCATTTATCATAATATCCAACAGATTATTAGTTTTAGAAACTGTAGCAGAAGCAGTACTAGCATCCATAATATCAATAGATTTCTCTTGAATACTCATATTTTCTAGAGATGTGTTAAACTCAACCATATTTAGAGGTTCGGGAAAAGACTGAATTTTATTGTTATCTATATAATAAATTAGAAAATACATTTTATAAGTAATAAAATACTCAAATGCTCTAAATAAAGTATTAATTTAAAGAAAAAATTTAAGAAATTTAAGATAATTTCATTTTTTTTCCCCTGTCAGTCATGGTCATAACAATGATTATTATTTTATTAACTGTTAAGCTAATTTGTCATTTTTGTTTTAATGTTAAAAATACAGTGATACCTTGGTTTTCATTGATAATCATCCAAAAAACAATTGCCAAAATCAGAAACCGATGAAAAACAAGGTAATTATTTCCATATGAATCAACATAAATCTAATTAATTTGTTCTAGACACTCCGAAATACATACCAAAAACACATTTTATAGAGAATAAATATAGCGTTTAATACTAAAAACAATAAGAATTTAATATAAAACACTAATGTAATGAATAAATGAACATTTAACATGGCATCCGAATGGCTGCTGGTTCTGGAAACTTTCTTTGGTCCCATGATGGAGCTAAAAGGAAAGCAATGGAATTGTTTGGCTTTTTTTAAACTCTTTCTGCCCTGTGGGCACTAAGAGGGCCTCTTTTAGCAAGCCCATTATGGGTTTGGCCAGGCCCACAATGGGACGGCTGGGTGAGAGATGGGGCCTGACATATCTGGACAGACCACCACATCACCCGAAAAATTCTTGGGGATTTTTCAACCCGTCTGAATTCGATCCCAGGTCTCCCAGAGCAGTTGACTGTTTGGACTATCCAGCTGTCAACTGCTATGCACAGGCTAATGCTCACACAACAAGAAACAATGCCACACTGAGCCGGAAAGCATGTGGCTTGCCCTTTGTTTTCACAAAATTAGCAGCGAGGTCATATGAGCATGCCAATGAAATCTGAGGCAATTGACAAAAATCTAGATAAATTTTTTGCAAAAAAATCGACGAAAACTGAAACTGACAATAACTGAGTTATTACTGTATATTTAAAAGTAATCAGCTTTTTAAAAATTTCTAATCTAAACATGTGGAGTAACATTCTGCTGTTGTGAATAAAATACATAATAACAAATTGGTTTCAAGACTACCAAATTATTACATCTTTTCTGCAAATCTTTTATGTTAAAAGATGAAAACCAGATATCTTGATTTAAGATACTCATCTAGCTCCTTGATAAAATCTATTTATCCTCAATTTACATAGACTTGTCCGAAAGTTAAAAATAGTAATTGCTTGTATTTGTCTAGTCATAAAAGTTCTTGAACTGACTGAGATCATGCATGAATGCTGTTGTTATATTCCAGTCTCTAGACTTAATTTGCTCAATGCTGGAATTTTGTATCATTCTACTGTCAGTAATTTATAATAAAGTCTACAGAACAAAAACTTATTACTTATGGGATTTATATAGACATTAAAAAGCATTTGACCAATCATTCCTGCTATTTTAATTAAAATACTAACTTATAACTACTGATTTTGATATTAATACTTTGCTAAATTGGTTATGTATGTAGTAAGGTCCAAAAGTTCTTGGCCTGACCTACTTTGCACATACACAGAAAAATGAGTGGCGGCATGTGAAGCTTAATATTTGAGATACTAGTGCCCTCAACTGTATTTTTATATTCTCATTCCTGCATGTCAGATATAATGTGGCTTAACATAACCTTTATGCACTATGTAGAATTTTGAGTATTGTGCAGTGATAAGAGTTAGGGCTATAATATAATATAACCAGCCTGGCATTTGTGTTCTGTCTTTAAACTGCGATTTTGGATTAACCATTAATCGTACAAAAGAAAGTGATACACTATTTGAAAAAGGATTGAAAGAGGGTTTGTGTGACGTATTAATTATTATGATAGGTTAATTAGGGGGGAGTTAGGGAGAATTTAATTTTACAAATTTCAGAAGTCACTAGCAGGTGGGGATAAGATGTAGGGGGTGGAAATGGGGGTTTTATTTAGCTATTTAATATCTATTATTGGTGTAAATTTGGAGTCAACAGGTCAAGAATTAACGTAATTACAGGCGTTTAAACTTTTATAATTACCTACAATTAAAAAAAAATTTTTTTAATTAACGGTTTTCTAACGAACTTTTCAACGGTCTCTCGCTCGTAATGGTTTTCTTAACCGTCCTTTTCTTTCTCAATGGTCATTTTAAATTAAGTACAGTTCATTTTAAATAATAGAGAGATAGATATAAATGGTGTGCATTACTTAATTTTACAATTTAATTTAATCTTATCTTTTAATTTAATTTTATTTTCTTTCAGTTAGCTTAGCTCATTTATTTAAATTCTGCTTTCTAATTAATAAATAAATTAATTTAAATTATTTAATTTAGATATTTTATTACTTTAAAATTTTNGAGACAAGTTCATTAGATAAATTGAAATCCTAAAACTCACTTTTCACTTTCAGATTTAGTAAATATATAAAAATTATATAAAAATATATTTAATTACTTAGCTTAATTTAATATTTTATTTCAATAACATTGTTTAATTAATTTAATGTACTGTAGAATACTCGATTATCCGAGTTAATGTGGATTGATGTCACCTGGAATAACCGAAAATTCGGATAAAACAGACGGCCACGTTCATTTCGGATTAAAAATTACCAATATAAAAGATTTATGTGGCACATCTCGAGCCTCTTTTTATACCTTAGTGAATTTAACCATGTACTCCTGAAGGAAAATATTTTACCTTAGGGGAAAATGCTTTATGTCGCTTTATTTGGCAGTGTAAATTATGCTTTATCAAAAAACCATACTTGCGAAAAAATTGTTATTTTTTTTTGTATTTACTGTTCTAGTCAATGAAAAAAGTTTATTTGATTTCTACTCATTGCGTGGTATTCTTGGTGTAACGAAATACGGTAAGGATGAAATATGTGCCAGTTAAGTATGCAGTAAACACTAGTTTTAGACATTCCTGAGCCTCCATGCAATTTTTCAAGAACTAATATGAAGATTTTGACTTAATGCAGCTAAAAATAAAGACTATTCCTCATCTTCATCTGTTACAATATTTCTTTGAAACTTACATTTTGATGGACACTTCAGTAAATAAATTAATGATACGATGAAAAGTTAACACTTGAATGATTTCTATTAGAGAATCGGATAACGTACAAATTACAGGAATCCGTGAAATTTCTATTTCGTAAATAAAAATCGTCAAAAACTTAGCCCGCTATTTTTAATTAATTCAATACTACCGAAACAATGCTATTTACAAATAGAACCTAGAAACGAAACGAATACATTCAAACACTTATAACTTCTGATAATATAATTACATCTTTCGAAAAAATGTTTCAGATAAAAGGCTATTGGTTTTTTCATGTAGAATTAGAATATGCAACAAAAATTGGGGTTCCTATTTAAGAAAATGAAGCTGACCGTATTTTCACCGATAGTAGCCATCTTGTGTCCTCTTTGATATCAAACAAAATTGGTCTGGAACATTTATTATAGGGTGCATATTTTCTCGAGATATTTTCCGATAACATTATAAATAACAATACCCTGTATAACAAGATTTACATCATTTAATGAACTACAATTTGAAAAAATTGTAGACCTATACATTTCCACTGTTGTCCATACATCTTTCATTCCTTAATCTCGAGAATGGAGTTAGAGACATGAAAATCAAGACAGATACAGAAAGCTTAGAGGCGAAGGCTCCGATTAACTATATATGAATTACAGCGATACGAACTGGAAGCCTTGGATAATGTGGAACCTGGGTTAATCGTGGTTCTATTGTATATTCATTAATGTTAAAAAAAATCAGTAATTATGATAAGAAATGGAAAAGATTAGCCATTATTAAGTAACAGAACTTCAAATCTCGGACATTTTTTTGAAATTAATGATACAGACATTATATATTAATCAAGGATTTATACAAAATTTTTAGAAAATCTTATTTGATCCTCACAAGTTTCCGTTTTATATAAATGCTTATACAAGGCAAGTGGTTCCCAATTAGTGGTACGCGTACCCTTGGGGGTACGCGAAATTGCGTGAAGAGGTACGCGTGGCAATCTAAAATCGGTCCATTTAAAATTTAAATGCATGAGATGAAGCAATAAAAAAAATAACACAAGTCTGCAAAAAAAATTTTTTTTCCAGTTGCATGGAATATTTTTGCTGAATTATGTTTTAAAGATCACAGATTCTAAAAATAACTTCCGTTACATCCCATCACGTAAAGGTTTTTGCAAAATAAAAACAAATTTTTGATAAAAACTTTTTTAATATATTTAGTTCAGTGTAATAAATATTTTCTTACAACTAATCAACAAATTGTTTCTGGTATTTATACACAATTTTAGGTCTACTCTTTTTTCTTATGAAACCTTTTCTTCTTCTTTTTGATGCTTCTCCAAACTCGTTTCAATTTCCTTCTCTGGTTTCTCGATTGAGCATCCAACAGTAGTCAGCTAAGGTATTGACATCCCATTTTCCTTTTCACGTCTCTCGATATCACTGACATCCTGGTGAAATCTTTCACCCTGTTCTTCATTGTAGGCTCCCAAGTTTTCGGGAAAATAGTCAATATGGGAGTGTAAGAAATGAACTTTTTAGCTTATCTTGCATCCTTGAGCTTCATACGCTGCTGCCAGCATGCGTTGTACAATGGTTTTGTAGTCAGGGTCCTTAGTATTCCCCAAAAACTTATGCACTACATTCTTGAAAGAGCCCCATACTTCTTTTTCCTTTTCTCCCATTGTTTCCAGAAATCTGCTTTGTCTCGATCTCCATGTTTCAATTTGAAATACGCAAATTAAACTTTATTCACAAACTCACTTATGTTTCTTTGTTGACTTTTCACTGTGTATTCACCACAAACATAACAGAAGCTGTCGGGAGAAATTACACAACCTCTGTGAGCCATATTCCAGAAATAAAAATACAAGCACAGTAGCATTCGAATGCTGGATATAAACTGAGTGTGGCATTAGATGGCCAGCGAGATACTGAACTTATTTAGCTTGTTGA